CTTTTGCCTCAGCGGTCTTGTCGTTATTCCCATTGTGGATGGCAGTGATGCTTAGTCCCATCCTCCCTGTACAGAGCTGTGTAAAATAAACACTTGGCAGCTGCATTTGTGGGTGAAGAGCCTTTGGGATTTGGTGCAAGTGGCAGCAATGTCCTCTCCCCTGCTGCATGGCAGCTCTCTAGAGCATGAGGAAACTGTTTGGTTATCCTTTTGTTAACCATGGTGTAAGTGCCTACTAGAGCAGCAGTAATATTTAGCAGTACTAGTGGAGCCTTTCTGTTACTTCAGGCCTGAGGAATACTTACACTTTTTAAAATGACAATTTTAAAAAAAGTTTTTCCTCCAAATCTGTGCTGCTTCACAGCTCTTCTGTGCTCTGACTGCAACAGGAGAAACAGAATTAGCCACAGGTTTTAAGTGAAAGCTTTGCCCTTTCCAAGGGAAATAACTTTTCATTTCAATCTTAGCCAAATTTTGGAAATGTTTTCCCTCATGATTTGGGATGAAACATCAATAAAAATCCTGTTTGGCCAGCTCCAATAGTAAGTGCAAAAATAGAGCTTGTTAATATGATACATAGTAGCATTGATAGAAACAACCATTTCCTTTTTGTCTAATATTACAAGAAACCAAACACTGAAAATGTTTTGAATGAACTGACACTTTTTTGTGCTTCATAACACTTTCTACATATGAGGTCATCCTACTTTTTTGCTTTAAGTCAGAAAAATATTATTTCCTGAGGTGACAGGGAACATAATCAAGTTCTCTACAGTTTCGCCAGAGCTGCTGGTAAGGAGCCCAGATCACTAATACCAGAAGTCTTGGCTTTTTAACCACACTCACGGAATTGAAGCACAAAACATGTCGTTTGTGCTCTTTTAACCATTAGCAACATGTCCTTTCAGAGTTGGGTATAAAAACCAGGGTCTTTCACGGGGAGGATGACAGCTGGGGGTTGTCACTTATCTTCATCTCTGGTAGCAGTAATCTGTGTTTATTAGTTTAGAGTTTCTGGTTTCCTGAACTGCTGATGACCAATATTGAGCCAGTGTAAGTTTGTGTGAGAGAAGCTGCTTGCAGCTGGGCTGGAACAAGCCTTGGAAGAAGGTGGTGACTTGATTTCATGCTGTGGAGACTCAGCAGGATTAAAGCTGCTGCATTTCATGTTTCTCTGTTGGATTTTGTGGAAGGAAGCTTTTGCTAAGATAATTACACTGTGACAGTTGAATATAGTCTTTGCTTCCTCATGGATCATGCAATAAATCACTTTATTGTATTTTTATACTCTTCGTTATCTGTATTACCAGTTTCAGTAAAATTTGTGTTGAATTGTAGAGAGCAGCTAATTATTTTGTTGCTGTTGTTTTGCAAGAAGCCCTTCTTCTGTTCCTTAGATGCTTCTTGCCAAGGCATGATTCTTTCCTTAAATTAGCAAAATTCAATTAAAAGTACTTTGTGTGTGGAAGTTCAGGAAAATATTGGGGCTCTTGTACCATTCACTTGAATGTAGTATTTAAACTTGTCAGAGCTAGTCCAGCCATTCTCATACAATGTTTCCTAAGCTGTGCCTTTAAAAACCCCCCAATATTAAGCTAATAATTATAATACTCACATATTTCAGTTTTACACAGTGAAACAAAAGCAGCTTAAAACTTCTGTGTCATTCTGTAATATCAAGATGACTGTGGCTGTCTGGAACGCTTATGTAGTGACTTTGTATGTCACACTACTATATCGCTGTGTTAGCTTCATTCTTTTAAAAAAAGATTTCATACCTGCCTTGGTTCCTTATACTTTGCATTATTTTCTGACAAAACCCAGTACTTTTCTCTCATCATAGTTAATCCCGTCTAATATCAAAGCTCCACTATCTCAGTAACTGAGGGCATAATAAAATGCATTGGCAAACACATTGGAACAATTTCCAGTAATTTTGGCTAAGTCTCAGAGGAAGTGGAAAGTAATACAGATTAACTCAAAAGGCTACGCATTCCCTTATATGATCTGGAAAACACGACTTAACACCAGAAGGCAATTGCAGTGAGCATCCAAGAGCAAAACCTGAAAATTAATTATCTATTTCCATCTTGCTGTAACAGGAAAATCTATGTTCCATGTTAACCTCAACTGCAAAAACTGATTGTATTCTAGACAAGCTTATCAATCACATCAGAGAAGTAAAACTCTCTTCATGTTAAAAAATATTGTTTGGTCTTACTAACTGGCAGGTTTTTTTTCACTCTACCCTCCCACCTCCCATCTTTGGAGTTAATAAAAATCTCAGTGTCTATTATAATTGGAAATAGCTCAGGGGGGCAAGTTATTTACATCAATCAGAGAAATAACAAATTTTAGCTATAGAGAGTCTTGAGGGTGGAGTCAGCAGCGCTTGTTTATGGAGTTTGGCTTTCCTGTGTCCCCATAGAGCGATTCCCAGCAGTCATGGCCTTCCTTGTTTTCCTGTGAGCAAGGGCCTGTTATCATGTCTCACTCTGTAGCCTGTGAGAAAGCTGAGGCTGGGCTGTCTCGCGTAGGCTTCGCCTGGCCGTGTGAACAGATTACAGCATTCCACTTGTTAGTAGGAGCCACGCAGCAGAAATGTTTTACTATTATGTTACTGGGCAATGATAAAGTTGGCAGTCTTTTTATGGTTAGGTCCTCAAAGTGGCAGTTCATGTTTTAGTGATAAGGAGAGAGAGCTTTGGATATCAGACCCAGACTTATTATCTGTAACAGTGAACTGTGGCTTAAATCCTTCCACAATGACAGGAACCCCATCTGGAGTGAAGGTTTCCAGAATCTTAAACAGGAGATACTGAGGCATTTTCCTTCCTCATGAGTTGAAGCAGAGTTAACCCCATTGTTAACAAAAACTTTTAAAAAGTTGCCAAGAGGAAAAAATGCATTTTTTATATTTAACTAAATAGCTGCCTTTATAGTAGAACTTTGAGTATAATTTTTCAGATGGATCTGGGAGGATGAGTTGGCAGTATTATTCTTAAAAGCTTTTACTTGATTGTTTTAGAATATTGAAAGGAGCACTAATAAAACTCCTATACTGCAATACTTAAAATTGCTCTAACGTGTTTATCAAAGGAGGTAAACTAGACAATAAGTGTATTTCTTGTAATATTTTTCTTTCTAGTATCTAAATACAGCTTCTAATTGTGTCTTGGACATTACATATGCTTGTTGATGCTGAGTGCTGTGTAAAGACATACTTGGATTCTATTTACAGTATTCTGTGGGTTGCAGGGGTTAAGTGTAATCCAGATTATACAGTGTTAACATTTTCCCTACTGATATCAAAGTGTAGAAGACTGGCAGGCTGACTTGTTAGGAAGGGCTGGGAGAGAGATGACAGGCTCCGACCTTGAGAGGCCGAACAGCCGGCCCTTGTATGGCCAAGTCCATATACGTGTCCAGCTGATTGGTTAGGGGAGCAGGATCAGTGCTGTGACAGGTGTCGGAGGAAGCTACACCTGTTTTCCCCATATGCTGATTTAGTGATTACATTTTTGTGGGAGTTCCAGATACTGTGTGGGATACGCGGAGCAAGCCAAGAAACTTGAGAAGGAATTATAGCTTATGGTGACCTGTGATATTCAAGAATTTCAGACTGTGTAATTGAATTTTCAAGTACTGCTTTAAAACTGAAGTAGAAATAGGCAGTATTTTGCATATATATGAATAGTGAGAAAGTCTTTTGTACTTTTTATTGTACTAAAAATTAGTAGATAGCACTTCAAGAAAAAATGATGATGAATACTATAGTCTAAACAAAAAAAAATTTTTTAAATCGGAAATTCAGTGCATTATGGGATCATAGCTTCTATAGGAAAACAAATGCAGTTTCTTGATGGTGCTGAGAGTGTCAGTTTGCAGGTTTCAAATCTTTAGAGCTTTTAGTGCAAAATTCATAGAATATAGATAATTTCTCACAGAAAGAAAACACATGACTCTCCCCTCATGCCTCTGTAGTCCTACTGCTACCTTAGGTACTGCTAATATATAGCAGTTAAAAAACTTAAATTGCTTTCCTTTTGAAAATTTTGTAAAACATTAAAGACTTTTCCATAGGTTACATTTTAAATCTTGTTTTGTTGTAGATGAGAACTTGTAAAGAAAGATGTCTGACTGTGTAATAGGGTGAAAGAGAAAAACAAAGAATACAAATATCTTTTAAAATTTGGCCATGAGACCTGTAGTTTCATATCCTTTCTTTCAGTAGCTTATTTGGAATGCCTAGATTGTAGACAAGTTTGTTTTTTTCCCCAGGGAATGTTGATGTGAGTTCTCCATCAGAAAACAGGAAGTAGCCCAGTAAAGCAGTTGCATCAAGTTAGTCTAAAGGAGTCTGAAAAAAATCTATATTTAGCAAATGAAGTCATTTTAGATGGGGATTATGTAATTTTTTTAATACTTTTTTGCAGTTCTTGTTATCATACAGGATGATAGAAATGCAGGAAAATTCTGCCTTGATAAACTACTGAGACCAAGTATATTCCATATATTTAATGTACTGCAGTTGTTGAAATTGATAAAAATTTTAGCCGCTGTGTTTCTCTGTGTGCCCTTTAAAACGTGAATATTAAAATTGGGTTGCTAAAATCAATTTATTAACGATCCAGTAAACTGGTTTTAATTGTCAGTGATAGCGTTAACTCCTTTGCCATAGGCTTGAATGCTCCTTGTATGTCAGGCAACTTTATCAGCCAGTATCTAAAAATGGTTTTACATGGAACACTGGAGAGATGAGGTGTTTGTAGGTTAAAGTTACCCATGAGATGGCACCTGGGAGAGTCTGTGCCTCTGAATGTACATTTTCTCTTTGTGTACTATGCCACTATTTTGCAAGACTGAGCCTGTCTGTTGAACAGTGAGTTTTGTCTGTGAAAGTTTCATGTAGTTTCAGTGGCTCTGAATGATTCAGTAGTATACAAAACTTCTTGGCAAGTTAGTATGATTTGTATGTGAATTTTCCAATTGTATTTCAGACCTTAAGAAAGAAAGGCCTTAATGGTTGTGAGAGCCCTGATGCTGACGATTACTTTGAGCACAGTCCACTATCGGAGGACAGATTCAGCAAACTAAATGAAGATAGTGATTTTATTTTCAAGCGAGGCCCTGTAAGTACTTTTATTTTATCTCTACTTTTTATTTGTTGATCCTTTTTATTAACTTCATTATTTAGGCTCTGAACAAGAAGGAACACAGAGGGTGCGACAGCCCGGACCCTGACACTTCATATGTGCTCACGCCACATACAGAAGAAAAATATAAAAAAATAAATGAAGAGTTTGATAATATGATGCGGAATCATAAAATCGCAGTGAGTACTAAAGTATGGTTTGTGCTTCTATTACATGCATGAAAACTTTCATGGTGTTTGCTTACCACTGAAAACCACTGCAAAGACAAGAAGATGTAATGGTTTGAGAAGGGAATATATATCTGAGGAAAAATGAGATGCTGATATTTGATCTTGTTAAAACACATTTTATCTTAAAGTATAAGAAGATTTGTCTCTAGCTTCTCTTTTGCACTCATAGTTTTTCATACCTTGTGAACATGAAGTTGCATTTCTAAATTTCAGGCCCCTACCTTCATTGCCTAACCCTACCTAAAAGATTTTTATAAAGACACATTTTGTTGTAGTATAAAGGATAGTTTATTTATATCTTGTAGCTCTTGGTCTGTTGATCAAGATTTTAAAGTATGTTACAAGCAGGCAAATAGAATTGATTAATTTTGTCACCGAATCAGTGAAATTTATCTTGCTGAAGACTATAGTAAGGTATTTAGATGTTTAAAGATAGACTGCTGCATGATGGGAGCCTCAAAAGATCGGTGTCTTCTGTTGAAATTCTAACAAATACTTCAATAGACACTGAAAGATCTAAATTTTCTTGTCCCAAGTGCCTAACCCATTTGCAGCCATAAATCACTCGGCTCCAGAACTCAAGAAGTTTGGCATTAACAGTAGTGTAAATTTTGCATCTTTTTCATGGAGGTTTACATGATGACATTTAATTTCCATCTACAAAAACCAATTAGTGTTGAGTATTACAGGGGAGATATTTTCTGAGAAAATTAGTACAGGGCTCTGCCGCAGCCTTTGAATTTTTTAACATTGCAAATCTTGTAGCAATTAAAGTAAATGGACTGGCTAGGTTAATCGGCACAGACCCTCGGGCAATTGAGTAGTGTGTCCTCAAATGACTTGGTAATACTAGAAATTATTTCATTGTTCAGAGCAAGAAGGCCATCTTTGGGGACTTCAAAGCAAATTGACAGTCATGACACCCACCATCACTTCTTTTAGCAAGGTCCTTTTATACTTGAATGAAGCCACTATCTTTTGTTCTTGCTTTGTTTTGAAGCTTTTGATATCCAGCATTTCTGTGTTGAGACATCTTCAGTCCTCATCTCTCAGTATGTTACAGCTAATTTGCTCTTCCTTGATTTTTTGTGGTCTTCATGAACAACCTAAATTGTTGATGGGGATATCAGTATAAATAAAAATGGTAACATTATTTTTCAGCTCTATAGTTCTGTATTTGTAGCTTAAATTGGACCTGTTATGGTTCTATTTCTAGTACTTTTGGGTCTGTATAGGAACATAATTTCTTTTGTTCTAGTGCACTCATTACTGTCAAAGGATAGGAATGAGGCAAAGTGTGAAGAATTTAGTCATAACCAAATGAGTACTGTAGATGGGCAGAGACAGCCTTTTTGTAATTGTAAGGTGTGTGTGGAAGCTGTCATTTATTAGTTTTATATTGAGAAACTTAGAGAAAAAATGTTTCGACTGCTAGCTTCTAGCATTGTTGTAAGCATACTTCAGGTATTTCAAGATTAGTTTGAGTTACTGGACAACATGCTGATTAAAACCAACCTTTTTCTTGTAGATACTGAATAGTTTCTTGAAGTAGTTTCCCGTGAAAACAAATACCAGTACAGCTTGTCATTAGTTAGATACTGTGAATGATTTGCTAGCATTACGTCGCTATGCTTCATTACTTTTTCCTTCCATCTGTGCCAAAAATTGATAATTATTCGTAGAATGCTTCAGTAGGGACACTGTCATTGGCTCTCACTAGTAAGAGATTTTGTTTCTTGTAGAAAATGTATTCTGTTCTTTTAATTAATATGGCTTTTATTATATTCCTAATGTTATCAAAATTATCATACAGAAGTATAATTCTAGGTAAAAAATAAATTTTAAGCTGTTTGAGACAAGAGTGCATCTTTTTAAGTATACATATTAAGTCATGAATGTTTGTCATCTGCATTTGACCTCTAAATCAAAAGTATTATCTTTCTATTCTGTCCATAAATCCTGCCAAATTCTTACCCTTAAATTGTACCTGTTATGATTTTGTTTCCAGTAATTATGAGAGTTGTGAAAGAAAATAGTCCCTTTTGTTTCAGAAACTCATCACTGTCAAAGGATAGGAATGAGACAAAGGCCGAAGAAGTTAGTCATAACTAAATGAGCACCATAGATGGGCAGGCATCTAAGCTTTTGATTCAAATAGTTGTTGAATAACAAACATATGCACTTCAGAAAAATAGTTGCCTTTTAAATAATGCTGTAAAAATTAGAAATTTAAAAAACAAGATTTGCGAAAAGGAAGATGGAGTGTTTATTCAAGCAGGGTATTGTAGATCACAGTTCAGAATAATGACAATTGAAATGTTTAAATTCAAATTACTGAATTTAGTGACTTTCTAAAGATCTGTTTATTTTTTTTAGTCTCAAAGTTTTAGAGATTAGTAGGAATATTTTGGCAAGATTATTAATACAAAATGTTATTACTAACTTTTTCTCTTTTGTGTAATAACTGACTATTTTATAATGTGCATGTTTATGCTTATATTTTGAAGGTGCAACAGTTCATGGATTTGTAGACATGTTTAGTTTGTCGTTGCTTTGTAATAATCCAAATTAACTGGTAAATTTATTGTATTTCTGAGCTTGTGAATTCATATGAATATCTTCAGATTTTTTGTATTTGAACTTTCAGTATTTTAGAAGTCTGAATAATTCTCTTGGAACTGTCTTTATATGATGTATAAGAGTTTAACACCATACTCTACAACAAATGGATGTTTTAAAATTGTATGCTTAATAGACTTTAAAAACTAACATAATTAACTTTTTTTTTTAAACCTCAGTAATTCTTGGCATACATCAGTGTGTATTTTTATAATGTGCTATTTCTACAAATGTAGTTAATGCTAATGTTGTTTTGTGTGTGTTCCTCATCTTCTTTCCTCCAGCCTGGCTTGCCTGCTCAGAACTTCTCGATGTCGGTTACAGTTCCAGTGTCCAATCCCAACACTTTAACCTACAGTAACCCAGGGAGTTCTCTCGTATCCCCATCACTGGCAGCCAGTTCATCGTTAACAGACACAACCATGCTCTCCCCACCCCAGACCACCCTGCATCGCAACGTATCACCTGGGGCCCCTCAGAGACCACCGAGTACTGGCAATGCAGGTAAGATTTCAGTACAGTTGTGCTTTCCTTTTATGCCCTCTTCTTAAAAAAAAAATAATTTTGTTATTAATACTCTCCCCCTGCCCCCCAAGTAACAAGTTCTTGATGGTATCAGTGCATTTTTTTTTAAAACGGCCAAAGTTTTGAAGTACAAAATGATACAACAGTGTAATGAGAGCAAGTAGTTTGATGCTCTGGCTTATTTCTGTTAGGTGGAATGCTGGGGACAACTGACCTCACAGTGCCAAATGGAGCTGGTACCAGTCCAGTTGGTAAGTGCGCTATCATGTCTTTGTTGAAAAATAGTATTATGGTTTTAGTTTCACACCAACTTGAAAGCACATTTTATTTTGATTCTTTTTCAAAAGTTGTTGTGGAAGAACAAAGGTTGTAACTTTATTAGTTGTCTTGTAATTGTCAAGTCCTGTAAATTCTTATCAGACGTTTAACACTTTTACTGCCATGCCCTTTCTACTTCAGTAATATTTGCATTTTGTATTTTAGTGATTTTCAATAGTACTGTGCTGCTCTTGCTTTTGTGTTTCTTTACAGGTGTAATTACAGTACTCTAAAGAGATCCTGTGTTTGCCAAATGTTTTCCTTTGCATGAAATTCACTGTGCTTACTAAACCATTACACTAAAAACAACTCAGCTGTGTTCTAGTTTTATTCACAAGACCAGGATGTTTGATACTGTTTGTGGTGCCAATCAAAATGAAGAAAATACAGACTGTATTGTTTGTATTGCCGTGTGTATCTTGCTAATTATTTTCTAGTGGTTATGCAAAGAAAGCAGTAAATCTTGGAAGCTGATATCTAGGTTCTCTCTTAATTTTGGAAGATGATCAGAATTTATTTCAAAAACAAATTTGAGATCAAATTCACGGTATTTTTTTGTCTTCAGTAAAAAGGTATGATAGCACTTTTTAATTTAAATAATATTTTGACTCCCCTAAACAAAACTTAGTACTCTGATACAGGGCAGGCAGCCACTGAAATTTATCATGCCACAGAAAGACAGTTCTCCCACTTCCTTCAGGTCCCTTCCATTCCTTGAGATGTCTTGGTGAGCAAAGGTCAGTTTTGGGAATACACATAACTCTTTCTTGGTATGTGTTCATAGCAAGGAATTAGAGGAGCCACTGTTGACCTTTCAGTATTTGCCCCCTGGCTACTTAGTGTGGCAACTGGGAAGAAGTTCTTTGAAGGTAAAGTCAAGCAATTGAATTTATGAATAAAAAATGCTGGAACTACAAGGCTGAAAGTACAGGATTGACTTTCCACTCTTCATCCATTCTTTGGCTATGTGCAGCAAAGATATGAAATATTCAAGTGTGGTTTCCATCAGGTAAGCAAGATTTTAAATGGAGGAGACTTCCTGAGTTGAAAAAAGATGACTATTTTTAGAAACTGTGGAGGTCAGATGTTGATTTCCATAGTATTTCTTAAGTCAGGCTAAATAAATTTATTATCAGGCCATTTCAGGCCTCTTTTCCAAAATCAGGCTTTAGTAACAGCAGCTTCAGATTTAAGACTACTTCTTTCAATCAGCAAATAAAAAGGTTGTTTACAGCACTTGCTATAGAATATTGAACTGTGGAAATACCCACTTACAGCAGCTTGGTGAACATATTTAATGCAGTAAAATGTTTTCCTTCTTGCATTTATTAATAGTTTATGTGAAAAGTCAAAATGCATCACTTATCTCTTACTTTCCAGAACATCGCACCCAAAATGTTATATACCCACTCATTTCTAGAAAGATTTTTTTTTTGTACAAGTAAAGCGTTGTGGCTCTACAAGAACAGTGGAACATCTATAAGAAATACATCTAGTGAAACTTAAATACCTAGTTAACACCAGAATGTTAAACCACAAAATATCCTAAGTTATCAAAGCTCCACTTTCTACTAGGATATGTATATGTCATGGCTTCTTTTAAGTACTGTCAGGTGCACAGTAACCTTTTAAATTGCAACTAAAATCAAGAAACCATACATAACCAGATAGAGTAAATCTGCTAACCTGTCAATTTGAGCTTGACCGCTGCCTTTGAAGAGTATATGTCTAGTTAATTATGTTTGCTGACAACAATGGATTTAGTTTCTTACTATATTTATTATAGAAGTCACTTCAAAAAATATTTTTTTTTCCTTTTGGCTTTCAATATTTTTCTTTTAAGCTTCTCGGGAATGGAGAATTTTCCTATAGATATAGTTGTGAAAGGTCTTGTTTCAAATTTGCATCTCACAATTTATAGAAGAGATGTCAAAGATACAGATGGAGTACAGGCATACCCATATTCCCAGATATTCTCCTACAGACACAGGAAAAACCCTGGGTTTACTCGACATTATGAAATTTTGATCAATTGAGATTTTGTTGTTATTTTATTTGAAGAGAAGTACTTACACAACTTTATCTCTGATTAAAAAGCATGTGAAGGTTATCTTGCATAGTTGGGACCCAGTTCTAACAAAGATGTTGCATAAAATAGCTCATATTTAGTTCACTAGTCTTTTTCTCAAGTCCTGTATAACTTGATTGGAATGGATATGATTTGCTTTAGCAGTCAATCTGCCGACTTAACAGTTTTTCTGTGGAAAATAACTGAGTAAAAATATCTGCGTGTTGTAGCAAAGATTGGTAAGTGTTTTTTTGTCTAGAACAGAAAATTTTGTGATCATTTTATAATACTGAGAGCTTGCTTCACATGCAGCTGTCATAACTCTGAAAAAGCATTTTTTTACTTTGCAAATTACTTTACTTTTTAAAATTTTACCCACCACTTAAAAAACATTTCCTGAAAATTTTTGCTTGGCAAGTATATCAGTGTTGGAAGGGAAGAAGTGTCCGGCATTATAACAGTGTTTGCTTTTGAGATATTTTATTTTTTCTGTTAATTAGATAAATGGTTTGGACCTAGGATTTGCATGATACTGCTGTTCCTGGTCAGTGTTAAACCCTGTTCAGTTTGTGATGGACATCTAATATGCTTCAAGAATCTTGTGTCACCAGGTGTACAACTTGCTATTTGTTGTCAACATCATCATGGCTTGAACACATACTGCATGTCTATTTTACTCCTTTTAAAAGCTGTGGATTCTAATTAGGCAAAGTCTAGCCTCACTTGTTTGGAGTACCCAAATGTGGGGGGGAGTTTCTCTGACTTTGAACTGGAAGGACTTGATGAATGGATCACCTTCAAATTTGTCATGAGGAGATCTGCTTCACTGTGTTCTGGTAGATTAAGTATTAAACTTTGAATCATTCAGAGGTGGCCAATGAAGTGCCACTTCCAGTGAAGTTATCCCATCCTTGAGGACTCTGAGAATCAGAAAATCTCAAAAGAAATACCAGTGTTATCCAGTCTCTACTTTTCTTCCATGCCTATGCATTGAACCATGAACCATGAAAAGGATATGGGCTGATTTCATTGATAAGGTTGCATGAAAAAGATAAACCCTGGACCAAGATGAATTCCCTAAATTCTTCAAGGCCTAGGTGATTTTGAAGGAGTTGTTGAAAGTGGAGGCTCTTTATGATCTTGCAAGGACACAATATTACCTGTTTATACAATTATTTATCAGTAAAGTAGCCTTTCTGGTCAGTAATGCAGATTATGGACCTAGTTAATCTGGGAAATTATCTTTCCTCTTACCCATTCTCCTGATGATAACATTGTAAGAAAGATCTAGTCTTCTTGAGTACTGAATTTCTCCTCTTTGTTCCAGAGCTCTAATTGTTCTCTAATGTCCTTGCTAATCTTCAGATTCTAAGAATGTAAAGTAACTTTAGGAATATTAAATTTCATTAGATTCGATCTGAAGGATATACCTTCTTGAAAAACTGTCTTTTGAGCTATTGTGTCTCTATTAAGAGCCACTCTAGATCATGTGTGAGTTTTTTGTTTTTTTTTAATCCTGGCCTCAGGAAGGATTATACAGAGGTGCCACTGACACTTTGCATGCACCTGTAGACTACTTCTAATTGCCAGCAAGGGATCAAGACAGACAACTGTGAAAGGCCAAACCAGTAAATGGTTCCCTTTGTCTCGAGGGATTGGCTGATTGGGAGAGCTTCTTCTGCATGTCTGAAAATAAAAGAATCTTTCTTCACAAGTCTGAGTTAAATGGCTAATATGCTGCAGTTTTATTAAGAGTACACCAGGAGGCTTCAATAACAAAACACCTTTCTATTCACATTTTATTAAATGAGAGACGCCTCAGCGAGAAGTGTTTAACTAACTTTGGAACAACATACCTCTTGCTGGCATTTTGTTTGAAACTGTATTGATGCTATCAGCCTCTTCCTTAAGAAAACAGACTTACTTCTCTCCACCCCCACTTCATACTCACCAACCCGTGTTGTCATCAGCTAAGAAGCTCGGCACTGTTGTTGCAGATGACCACCTTGGTAAAGCAGCTGTAAACATTGAGCATATTCCTCCTTAAGGTTATGTGTTACTGGTGGTATTCCTATCTGTTATACTTCCTCTTCAGCATGACAGGTAGTATCTGTCACAAGTAACCTTTCACTAGGCAGAGCTCCTCACTTCCTAGCTTGTGTTGAAAGGGGTTTGACTTAAAAGCGTATGTTCAGCTGATGCAAAATGCAGTGGACAAAGGTTCTTGCTCTGTAATGTCAATAGTGTTGGCATAATGTTTGTCTTTGCTCTGATCTTTAAGGTTACGTGGGTAGATACAACAGTCAGTGTTTCACCATTCTCCAAGGAAGAAATTAAAGGATTCCTGAAGAACACTGAGAGCAGCCTATTTACTCTTAACAGCTTCCAAGCTCTCCTCAAGGAAAGGGGGTACTGGAAGTGGGCTGCAGACCAGCTGTTTCACAGGGTGCAAGCTGAACCCTTTTTCCTTTGCTAGACTTTGTCATCACATAACGGAGTCTGACCCATCCATCATCCTCTGTTTAGATCAGCTCACAAGAAATGACTGGCTGAAATCAGCATGAAAAAACATGCTTGTAGAAGAAAGCATTGGAGGTGGTGGTTTTTGTTTTCTTTATATTTTTTTTAAAAAAAGTAGCAATCTCTCCGTGGAAACCACCCATCTACATGTGGTCAGTTCAGCCCCTGAACTACCCTTAGATTTTAGTTGAAATTTCATATATTGTTATATGTGTTCATTATCTTACTATAACCAGAATTGCCTTGTACCTCTTAGTAAATCAGATATTAGACTTTGTCACATGTATAGCAAATTATTAATCTCCCAGCTGGATTAAAGTATTGCTGTGTATCTGTTTGTGTGAA